CTACTTCACGGATTTCACCTATCGTGGCTTCTTTTAGGAACGTAACCCCCGCGATAAACGAGGGTTTACTGTAATGTTAAAGTAGATCCTGGTTTACCCAACAGACACACGGTCGCCTGTCTTCTTTAAGTTGTAAACATTTAGGCTTCTAGTAAAACATGCTTATATCCTTTTTCACAGCTGCTATTTTTGATTTACTAAAAATTCGGAAGAAGGAAGTTTTCTCAAATGTCAAAGAGTAATTATTCAATCAGAGCTACTAATCTGGATGATTTAAACTGTTGTTCTTCATCTGAAAGGGCAAATCTATTATTTTATACTGATAAAAAGTGCCCCCTAATGGTAGCTCATAGCATAACAGGCAGATGTCAAAGGTGTGCTATTACAGGGTTTATACAGGAATGAGGAACTCTAATTTAATGCTTTTTAATGCACTTAAAAATAATTTTAATGTCTTCAACAAGTACCCATGACTCTCACATATATATATATAAATAAATGGCAAAATCCTTGGTCATCTTTACCGTTGACAGGATGCAGCCATGTCCCGAGTTCCTCGTTTTCCAGCCACTTTTGTTAAAATTTGCATTTTACCTGTTTTCTAATTTTTTCTCCACCTCGATCTTCCTTTACGAACAAACGGCTTTACGATCAACCGGAAGCAGCTCCGCACAAATATATTATTGGGATATAATATATCTGACAAAATAGTTTTTATAAATTCTTTTTTAAATTAGGCATTTTAAACGCCACAATAGTCACATTTAATGAATTTTAATGCCAATCAAGGTTCTCATTTAAAAAATTATAATTTAATGATTTTGAATAATTTCTAACGACCCCCAGAAACCTTGTAATAGGAGCCAACTAAATGTTGCAGGAAGTTTCATGAGGTTTATTTCAGGTTACCAAAATTAAAATGAATCTATATAAAACAATAATAATTAAAATGTTAACTTCCAAGAACTAGTTGGTTATAAATAACTAAGAATTTTCCAGATTAAAACACGTTGGACCAGCCATGATCTGTCAGTTTAGAGAAACAGAGCATTGTGCTAATAATGCCTCCAAGCAGCCATTTTGGAAATAATGTATAAGCTAATTTCACAGCATTTTTAATTCCCAGTTGTTTTGTTCAGTTGTTGGTTTAATAATATTAAACCATAAATCCTCACTTCCTTCATTTGACCTATAACATCGATGATACCTCCTATTTTAAGGCAAACAATGAAAGATTTTTATGGCCAATTTTTCAGTCCTGAAAGACCA